ACCCGGACAGACGAACACACACACACACACACGCACACACACACACACACACACACACACACACACTGACAGGTTCGATACATATGCGTTTTTGCTGCCTGTTGCAGCGCTCTAGCGCTGCACGAAAAAAGCGCATAAAAATGACCGCTAAACGGAAATTGTTTATTTCCTTTTGTGCAAATTTTACGAAAACGGTATTGAGCGCACAGGCTAGGTGTGAAGAAATAGCCGTTCATGCAGTTAACTTAATTACTTCAAATTTGGTGCAAATGCGTGATCGCGCCGGCTTGCCTGGTGCGTTCCAGCTTGGATCATCCTTACACTCATTCGCTCAGCTTTTACATATTGAGCATTTTAACATAAAATTTAAAGCTTCTACGCTGAATCACTTATTTTCATCGTAATTCTGTATTTTCAGCTCTGCATTTTTATTACAGTTTCACGGCCGTTTAGCCAAAACGTGCTTTTCTGCTGGTAGTTTGAGCTTCCATAGAAAATCTTTCTGGCAAGATTTCGCATTCTTGTGGTTAAATCTACGGCCAAAATATGTTTTTGGATCGTTTTTTCTTTTTCCGGTAAAAAACATTGATAATTTCGCTATGGCCTTCATCGCAGATAGCCTTCTTCCACTCTCTCTCATCTAAAACTCCCTTCATCGTGCTTCTAGCTCCTCGCTTTCTCGGCGTTTTCTCCTCTTTGCTATCGGTACGCCTTAAATCTAACCTTAAAATCCGCTATATCCGTCATCTCATGGAAAAGGTAGGTCGGGCCAGCATGCTAGCTGATTTAATAATTGAGAACTATTTTTTAAGCAGGTAGGAAGACGAAAAATACTTTTCAGAAGTGAGGACGCGCGAGCAGGAAAAGACAGCCGAAAAAGAACGTGATCTAAGTGTACTTGTGGAAGAAGTGGAACTCTTACAAGCTGTAGCGTAACCAATGTATTGCGGCCTTGTGTACTGGTGTCTCAACAACACAACATCTGTGAAATCCAGGTGATACTCTTTTTAATTAAGGAAAAATCCAGTTGACATGATGCTATATTATAAAACGAAAAATTACAGTACGATTTTTAGGATGTTTTTCTGCCGATTAGCATTAATAGTGTCAATGGTAATGATGGTAACCAAAGCTCATCCATACATTGCTCCTGGAAACGATTCAACAGCAGCTTATGCTGATTTACAGGTTTTTGGCACGGCATTGTTTAATCTGAAAACCTAACAAGGCAGAAAGACGAGTTTTTTAAAAAAAGCATCCTTGATAATCAAAGTTCAGCTTTCACGCAGGTGCTTCGCACGTGCAGATACGTGAAAGCTTAGGAGCGGAAATGTTAGCATTTTCCTAACTTTGCTAGGAGTAACTTTGTCAAATGCGTGACCATTCTGCCACCTGATAATCAAGACGCTATTTAATTTGGCCATGTTAATGCTTGTATTATCATCCCTCAATTTCTGCACTTCAAAGTGATTTAGCGTTGTCACTGTTTTAGATAAACGCTTCCCCGCGGTGTTCCCTTCCCATGTGGAAGCTAAGGGTTGCAAACGCAGCTATCGCGCATGTTTGCGCCACGTGTACTGTCACGTTTGGTTAGAATTATGCCAACTTGAGAACTAGCCCAAAACAATTTATCGTCTAATTAAAGACTCGTACAACTAGATGGAATTTCGAACTGCATTTGCGCCATTTTTCGCCTTAAAACAAGACAAAAATATTTGTGGCGAGGTGACATCTCGGATGAGCTAGAAAGCTGAAATTTCACAAGGGTGTTTTATATTTACTTGCGGTTCAAATCCAGCTAGAAAGTTAAATTCCCTGCGCACGGACGAATCAGATAGTTAAGTTTACCGCAACCCCGAAAGCAAATGCATTTTCCGGATTTCGTCATGTGCGGATCACTAACCAATTTGCGTTTTTCAACAACTGATTGATCAACGGAAATTCATCCCCTTCATGCGAAATTTATGGTAATTATGTACACCGGAAATTAAAATTTCACGCGGCCACATGATATTACGCCATTGTCCCAGCCGACGTTCCCTTCATCTTGCATGCAAGAACCCAGGCTGGAACACACTAGACTTGCGCTAAACTTATAGATTGCTAAAAGCAGGAGTTTAACATCTGAGCTCATGTTGGCTGTGTTTCGACCGCTTCCCGCATGCAGAGGGAATTAATTGTAAACCTACGTGGTGTGTCATTGGTAGACATTGGCTTCATTAACTCGACAAACGGAAAGTTGCTCGCTTGCTAAAAAGAGTGTACGAGAAGAGCTGGATTTGAATCTTTTAGTCGCATACGAATGGAAAACATTCGCTTGAATTCCAGCTTTTCAGCTTTCCTTTTTCCCAAGTTACTAGTTTTTGCGCCAGAGTTTCCACGTTTCTTTACGTGACACCCGGACGATTCTAAGGGGCTGGGCTTGAAATCCTTTACAGGGGAAATTCCTTCAAAATTACAGCTCACTTTTTTTGTTCTCAAATTAGTAATTTTCCTGCCGAAACTCTCACGCATACGTGAAACCCAGACGGTTCTAAAGAGCTGAGCTTGAAACCTTCCAGTCGTGCAAGAGTGGGGAAAATTCCCTTACAATTCCCGTTTTCTAATTATTCTCCTTGGCGAATTAGAAGTTTTCCGTCAAAATCTTCACGTGCTCGTACGTGAGGCCCGAACAGTTCTAAGAAGCTGAGCTTGGAATGTTTCAGCCATACGTGAATGGGGAGCATTGCCCTAAAGTTTCAGAGTTCTAGTTTTTGTGCATTTTTATGCGCTTTTGCTGTGCAGCGCTATAGCGCTGCTACAGCCAGCAAAAACGCATATTGTCGAGAGGCTGTCTGGTATGTCGTGTCTGTTCGGAAAGCGAGTGCATTTTGTCACCCATTTTCAACTCAGCAACCAGGAAAGCTGGGGGCTGAAACTTCGGACATATGTTCCTACCCCGTGTGCCATCCTCCCATTTTAAGATCTTCCCCCATACGTGCCTAAACCCGAGCACGAGACCCCCAAAGAAATTTGTTGGCGGGAAACGATTTCGCGAACCAGGCAACATAGAAGGCTGAAACTTTGCAG